CTCACACCCCCCCTCCCCAGCTCACACACCCCCTCCCCAGCTCACCCCCCCCTCCCCAGCTCACACCCCCCCCTCCCCAGCTCACATCCCCCCCTCCCCTCCCCAGCTCACAACCCCCCCCTCCCCATCTCACAGCCCCCTCCTCCCAGCTCACACCCCACCCTCCCCAGCTCACACCCCCCCTCCCCAGCTCACAACCCCCCCTCCCCAGCTCACAGCACCCCCTCTCCATCTCACAGCCCCCTCCTCCCAGCTCACACCCCACCCTCCCAGCTCACAGCGCCCCCTCCCCAGCTCACAACCCCACCCTCCCCAGCTCACAACCCCACCCTCCCAGCTCACAGCCCCCCCTCCCAGCTCACACCCCCCCTCCCCAGCTCACAACCCCCCCCCTCCCCAGCTCACAGCGCCCCCTCCCCAGCTCACAGTCCCCCTACCCCACTCCCCTCCACAGCTCTTGAGTCCACACCTTAACAACCCCACCCTTTCCTCTGGTCTCTCTTTATCCCACAGCCAGCCTTGGGCGCTGGCCGGCTGTGGGCTGGGGTGGGTGCGGCAGTGTGCCCTGGACAGACTGAATTACACTCCATAACAATCATCTTTCTCTCTTTCAACATTATGTCCTTTGAATGTCGAAATGCCTCGGAGCAGCTACGCAATTTCAGTTTACAGGCAAATACAGAGGCTCATTTGCCTAAAACATCACCCCCCGCCCTCCACACACACACACACACAACACACACACACACACTCAACCACCCACACAAATGGCCGTCGCTGTTATCTGGTGATGGATTCTTCCTGGGATTGTCATAGGGAAATAAAAACAGCCTTTGTTTTCTTTCCCAACACAGCATCCTAACCCCTCCCCACCTCGTCTCCTCTTTAACGTTCAACTGTACAGGCGCAGTTCTGACAATCTCCCTGTGTCCCAAACGCAGCCGCGCGCTGAGGGATTTAACAGCGACAACACATTTACATTTACGCCGAGGCATTTCACGTCGGGAGGACCACCCAAGGCGCTGGACCCGAGCTGGGGGTTGGGATCAGGGAGGTTGGACGGCAGGGAGGGTAGGGGTAGGAGGATGACCGAAGGCGCGCTCGAAGAAGGGCGTCTTGAGACGAGGCGGAGGGGGCTGTGGGATGGAGTTCCAAAGGGCGGGGGCCAGAAAGGTTGAGGGTCCGACCGCCGATGGTGGGGTGGGGGTCGGACGGTGGGGACGTGGAGCAGGCTGAGCGGAGAGAGCGGACAGGTCACAGAGGGAGGGAGGAGCAAGGCTGTGGAGGGCTTTGGAAGTGAGGATGAGGATTTTGAACTCCATTAACCTTTCTCACCTGAAGGACGGCACCTCCAACATTGCAGCGCTTTCTTCCCCCATCCTCCATTACTCCCTCTCGCTTCTCCTCTCTTACTGTCCTTCCCATCTCCTCTCCCTCCTGGATCGTCACACAGCCTTCCGCCCCACCCTTCCCCCCACCCCTTCAAACTTTAAAGCCCTCCACGGTCTTGCTCCTCTCTACCTCTGCCACCTATTGAAACTTCACTAACCTGTCTGCTTCCTCCACCCTGTAGGTACTGGCCCACTCCACTTCCCCCGCCCCGCCCGGTCCACTATCGACGGTCAGGCCTTCAGCCTCTCTGCCCTCACCCTCTGGATCTCCGTCCTGGAGCCCCTCCGCCTCAGCCCTCCCCTCACCTCCTTCAAGGTCCATCTCAAGATTCCCACTTTGACCGCGCCTTCGGAAATCTTCCCACCCTCACCCCTCCTGAATCCAACCCCCCAGCTCGGACGCAAACCTTTGACTGTCCAGTGCCTTGGGACGTCCTCTCGGCGTGAAAGGCGCTGAACACATACAATTTGTTGTTGTTTTTGAACCCACAACTGCCTGACTTAATGTGACTGTCGGATGCCACTGCTAAGTGATAATTACGCATAAGAACAGCAGTTTAGGAATGGCGTTGGGGCTGTAAAAAGGGTGTTAGGAGATTTACTCCGATAATACCAGGGCCGAGTCGTTTAATTTATGAGCAGAGACTTGTTTTTTGGTCAGCCCGGTGTCTGACACGCAGAAACCCATCATCATGCTTGACGGTCTCCAAACCACATGAAAAGTTCCACGGGTGTTCCTCAGCGCTCTGAGACCCCACCCTGTGCGAAAGGCCCCGTATAAATGCAAGTTATTGTTGTACTGGAATGGAATGTGCACTCTTTCACCCTGAGAGCATCGCTCTGTTTATCTGATTTTGGAGAATGTGGAGCACAGCTTGGCCGGAGGAAAGTGTGTGTTGGGGTGACTGCTGGAATCCAAGCAGCTAAATAATAATAATAATAATCCTTGCATTTGATATAGCGCTTTTCACGTCGGGAGGACGCCCCAAAGCGCTTCACAGAACGCACTGTAAAGTGAATTGACTGTATATATTTGTGGGCGAACGCGGCAGCCAATTGCGCACAGCAATGTCCCACAAACAGTCGTAGATTGAAAATGACCAATTTATTATTGTTTTTGGTTTTGGAGGGATTATTATTAGGCTCTGTGTGGAGTAAGGAAACTTGCCCAAGGTTTCGCCCTCTGCCTGGAATTGAACTCAGGTCTCTCACTTGCAAAGCGAGTGCTCTAACCACTGAGCTACAGGACTCCACACAAACCGCGTAGCTTGCCGTTGATGTCGCTGTCTGGAGAGCTTTCCCACTGCTTGCCCGGATAGGACCACCCTACCTGTTAGGGCTTTGGCACACAGGGTTAACGGGAGCTGAGTGGGAGGATTCCGTGCCCCCAGTGACTGGTCTGACCATCCCAAGTCCTGCCGATTAGCCAGTCTTTTAAGTTGCCAGCAATACCCTCGAGTAATAATTCTAAGCCTTGCATTTGATAACGCTCTTTATCACATCATTGCGATGTCTTAAAGCGCTTCACAGAATATACTGTAAAGTGGAGTGACTGTGCACTTTGTGGGCAAAGCACAGCAGCCAATTGAGCACAGCAGGATCCACAAGCAGTCGTGGATCCGAGTGAGCAAATTATTATTTTTTTTAAGGGATTCTTAGGGAGAGCTTTGAGATGTTTTGACATTATAAGTGCTGTGCAAAACTGGGAAGATGCTGATTATTATTATTATTTTTATTATTAATAACCTCTGCTCCTCTCGAGGACAGGGTGTAAGTTCAGCTCTGTTATTCCATGGATAATGAGCGAGTAGCACAGCTATTTCCAATGGCTCGGGCCGGAGCCTCTCCTTCCAGCCCTAATATGGACAGAGTATTAGAGGTGTGAAGAGCTCTGGGTATCTCACACGGTGGGGCACAGAGTGAGCAGGAAGCCCACCTACCGCTGCCTCTGGACGGAGCTAGACTCCAGTCTGAGCGACGCAATCATTGACAAATGTTGTTGGGACGAGAGTGTCAGGGGTGTGAGGTGTGGTGTGTGGGGCGTGCGGGGGTGTGACGAGGGGGTGTGGGGATGAGGTGTGGGGGTATGAGGGAGTGCGATGGGTGTGAGAGGTGAGGGGGGCTGGTGGGGTGTTGTTGAGGGGCTATGGGGGTCACCGGTGTGAGAGGTGTGGGGCTGTGAGGGGGTGTCGGGTTTGGGCTGCGACTGAGCTGTGGTCCCCTCTGGTGTTAGGAATGTATCTGACAAGTGTTGTGATTTGATGACAAAATAAAATATAATCCTTGTGTTTGATATAGGCCTCATCACGTCTCAAAGCGCTTCACAGTATATATTGTAAAGTGAAGTGACTGTGTAATTTTGTGGACGAAACGCGGCAGTTAACCGCGGACGGCAGTGTCCCACAGTCAGTAGATAGATGNTTTTTTTGCGCGGGATTATTATCCGACAATTGATTAACAACCGCGGTTCCTACTTACTGTTCGGTCAACAGAGGTGTGTGGAGTAAGGAAACTTGCCGAAGGTTTTGCCCTGCCCGGGAATCGAACCCGGGTCCTCTCGCTTGATACTCCGGTGAGTGAGTAGTAATCATACGGAACAGTCTCCCTAGGACTTCTGTTAGGAAGTAATGTCTCAGGATTCGGTGTATAGTTTGGGACGCGACATGTCCGAGTGACTGCCGGGAATGGTGGAAGGCGAACTGGATGGTGTTGTTTCGCCAGCAAATTCTTATGTTCTTATAACTTCAGGCAGATCCTGGAGAGGGGGGTAATAATGAAATCAATCGTCTCATCCGGGTGGGGGTGAGTGGCACGCGCGCGTGTGCGTGTGTGCGCGTGTCTATTCCTGATCCCGACTGACGACATCGTACACCTGCTGCGCGTGTCTGTCTGTCAATGCTGATCAGGGATTTCTGAATGAAAGCGGACACATGTGTCCCTGCGTGTGTGTGTGTGTGTGTGTGCGCGCGTGTGTGTGCGTGAGCTGTAACGGTCCGAGAGACAGCACTGCACTTAGTGCTGCGTCTGCATGGAGTCCTCATGAACCAAACGTGGGTGGAATTGTGCCTCTCCAGTTGCCTTAACCAGCTCCTGCTCTCTCTCTCCCTTTCCGACTCGCTCCGCCCGCCTGTCCGCCTGCCCGTCCCACCTCGCCCTGTTACTAAGGAAGCAGGCGGGCTTGTCAGGCAGCGTGTGGCTGAATGAGCCCGAGGTATTGGCAGACAGACAGACAGACAGACCGACAGCTTTTTTTCCCCCTGCTGCTTCACTTCACTTGCCTTGTCAAGCGCTCTGCAAATGTTCTTAGACTCTGGACTCCAGCCACAGATCCCTGCCTTCCTGTGTGTGTGTGTGTGTGTGTGTGCGCGCCAGCAGCCAGCGCTCCCCACTCCTTTTTTCCATTCATTCTCTCCTTCCCTCCCACCCTCCCTCCCTGCTCGCGGGTCCTCCCAACACAGGGAGAGAGAGGCAACGCTGAGACTGACCGGCCGAGCGAGCAAGCAAAGGAGCGTGTGAGGCAGCGCTGACTGTCTGGTGTGAGATTGTGTACAGAGACAGACAGACAGAGAGAGAGAGAGAGAGCAGCGTGGAGCTGAGCTCTTGAGAACCATGGTGGCAGGAATGCTGATGCCTCTGGCAAGCCTAAGGGCGGTTTACGAGCTGCTGTTCAGGGACGGAGTCCTGGTGGCTAAAGCAGACACCAGGCCCCAGAGCAGACACCCGGAGCTGGAAGGGGTGTCCAACCTGCAGGTGATGCGAGCCATGACCTCCCTCAGCTCCCGAGGCTTCGTGCGAGACACCTTCGTGTGGCGACATCACTACTGGTACCTGACGAACGAGGGCATCTGCTACCTGAGAGATTACCTGCACCTCCCCGCGGAGATCGTGCCCGCCTCCCTACAGCGGGGGGCCAGACCCCGCGTGCCCCCCACGGGAGGGCGAGGGAGAGCGCTCCCCCCCCGCCCCGTCACCCCCAGGGTCGCGGACCACCAGCGAGCAGTTCAGGAGCGTGCGGAGTACCGGAAGGTGGAGGAGCCCAGGGCGGAACCAGAGTGTGAGAGGGCAACATCCAGGGTGACCCGCGAGGCCAAACCCACACCAGGTTTGCAGCAGCCCCAGAAACCGTAGAATATTAACGTATTAATAATAATAATATTAATAATAATCCTTGCATTTGATACAGCGCCTGATCACGTCTTCGAGTCGTCGTAAAGCGCTTCACAGGATATGCTGTAAAGTGAATCGACCGGACGTTTTGATGGCGTGATAGCCTTCCTCTCTGCTGGTTCGAACGGTTCTCTTATCCGAAATGATTTAGCAGAGCTTCGGTTTAAATCCGTTCCGAATGGAGATGGGAGAGTTAAAAAATAATAATAATAATAATAATAATAATTGGCCACTCAACGTTTGTGGGGCTCTGCTGTGGCTGCCACGTTTCGTCCACAAATTACACAGTCGATCCACTTCACAATACATCCTTTGAAGTGCTTTGAGACATCTCAACGATGTGATAGGGCGCTATATCAAACGCAAGGAGATTTATTATTATTATTTGCAGTGCAGAAGAAGGCTGTTCCGCCCACCTGTCTTGTCTTTTAAGGGCCAATTGTGCTCCGAGGCTCGGTGTTTAAATGGTCTCCGACGACTTCTCAACTCTGAATCCTCCCGATCTCTGTGACCTGCTAACTCTATATTAGGCCTGTCCTCTCCCTCCGCTCTGCGGGCTCCGGCCTGCTCCGTGTCCCCCTGCCCGGCCCGCCCCACCATCCACGGTCAGGCCTTCAGCCTCTCTGCCCGGACCCTGTGGAACTCCATCTCACAGTCCCTTTGCCTCGCACCCTCCCTTGTCTACTTCATGGCTGATCTCAAGACTCTCCTCTTCGACTGCGCCTTCGGTCATCCTCCTACCCCTGTCCTCCCCTGATGCAAAACAAAGGGGGGGATTGCAACAAAACAGGAGAAAAGAGGTGTTGCATTATTAACACCTCTTTAACCCATCATGGGTTAAAGGCATACATGTGGTTCATCACACTGATGGAGCTCATTTTAAAAGTGCTCCATGGTCTGACTCCTCCCTACCTCTGTGACCTACTAAGTTTCTCTTCGACCGTGTCTTCAGCTCCTCCCCTCTCAACTCTCTACCCCCTCCTCGCCCCCTCCCTTCCCTCCCCTCCCCCTGACCATTTTCCCCCCTCCTCGCTCCCTCCCTTCCCTCCCCTCACCCTGACCATTTCCCCCCTCCTCGCTCCCTCCCTTCCCTCCCCTCACCCTGACCATTTCCCCCCAATGCTCAGGTCCTGACCCAACTGTCCAGAGCCTTGGGACGTCCTCCCGACGTGAAAGGCGCTCTATAAATGGAATCTTGTTGTTGTTGTAAATCCTTACCAACTTGCTCGCTCGGGAGGCAATGGCCTGCGCCATATCCACTGTCCTGCCTGCTCCATCACCGGCGGTCAGGCCTTTGGGCTTTCTGCCCCACCCTCTGGAACTCCCATCTTGGAGTCCCTTCGCCTCGCCCCTACCTTGCCTCCTTCAAGGTCGTTCTCAAGACCTTCCTCTTTGACCAGGATTTTGGTCATCCTTCCACCCCCACCCCCCACTTGCCCTCCACCCTTCTTGATTCCAACCCCCAGCTCGGGTGCAAACCCTTGACTGTCCAGCACCATGGGATGACCCCCCCCCCCAACATGAAAGGCTCTGTGTAAATGCAATTTGTTGTTGTTGTCACACACCTGGCTGATGGGTTTCTGTGTGTCAGATACCAGCTGATCACAGTGATGGGTTTCTGCACCTCGATCACCGTGCGATTACAGTAAGGAGTTTCCAGAGTGTGTTAGACACTGTGATGGCAGATTACTGTGATGGGTTTCCCCAGTGTGTCAGACATCCGACTGATGTCAGACACATTCAGCCCACGTGGATTTCCTGGAACTGACCATCAAAAATGACAGTGAACAGTTGGTTTGAGTGAGAGAGAGACAGAATGGGCAGGCAGCTCACATTATAGAAAGAGGCTCAGATTGAGGGGCCGGAATTCGGGTCTTTTAACACGAGAGAGGACACAGGTAACGCAGAGAGCAGTTAACGCTGTGCGTGTGTAATTCACTGGAGCTGGTACGTTTGCATGCGGTGAAGGTCCAACTGCGGTTTCTCGCAATTTAATGCATCTTGACCCGTCGCCACGTGTGCACTTACCGGCAATGTTGGAGTCACATTGATTCGTGGGAAATTAAGTTCTTCTGCGCCGGTCTCGACAGTCACGTTTCCCGTGATTCAAGGCAGCCGGTAAGTGCGGGGAGTAATGGAGGTTAGGGGAGCGCTGTTACGAGTTAGGAGGTGATTAATACGAGGAGTAAATGGTTTTGATAGGAAACTGAATGGGACTCGTGCGAACGTACAATTTAGGTGATTATAGGTTTTTGTAAAGATAAGACGCATGCAAGTTGTACTTTAACCTTACATTTGATCTTTCAAATCACGACTGCTCAATGCATGTAACAAGATATACTGTAAAGTGTAGTGACTGTGTACTTTATAGGAGAACACGGCAGCGACCAATTTTATTTGGGAAACTTTCAGCCAAGACACTGCGAGAGAGAAACTCCCTTTGCTTTTCCAAAAACACAAACGGATCTTTAACTCTACCCGAACAGGCAAAGAGTTTCTCTCTCCCGCTGTCCAGGCCAACAATCCCCCAAATAAAATTGGTCACTCACCCACCCCATAGCTGTTTGTGGAACACTGCTGTTGGCAACTGGTTGTCACGTTGCGTTCATAAAATGAACCATCAATCCACTTTACAGTAAATCTGTGAAGGACTTTGAGACATCTCACCGATGTGATAAGGCGGTATACGAAAGGCAAGGATTATTTATCAATAAGTAGAGCAGCATATGTCATATGACACTGTTTGTGCTGTGTGATCCAATGTTTGCTGTAGGATCATCTGATTGCTCTCTCACTTGGTGTCCTGTAGTGTAGTGGTTAGAGCGCTCGCCTCGCAAGCAAAAGGACCCGGGTTCGATTCCAGGGCAGGGTGAAACCTTAGGCAAGTTTCCTTACTCTACACTCCTCTGTTTGCCGAGCAGTAAGTAGGAACCTACCTGGTTGTTAGTCGACTGGCAGATTGCTTTCCTGGGGGAATAATCCCTCCAAGAACAAATTCAAAAAAATGTGTTCACTCAATCCACGGCCGTTTGTGCTGTGTGCAATTGGCTGCCGCAAAATACAGTCTGTCCACTTTACAATATATCCTGTGAAGCGCTTTGAGACATCTCAACGATGTGAGATTATTAGTATTATCTGGGCGAGGCTTTACAGGAAAGTCTAGTGACTCTTATCGTAGAATCATAGAATTGATACAGCACAGAAGGAGGCCATTCGGCCCATCGTGTCTGTGCCGGCTCTTTGAAAAGAGCTATCCAATTCAATCCCACTCCCCCGCTCTCTCCCCATAGTCCTGACCTCCCCAAATAATTATCTACTTCTCTCTGTTAATATGTAGGAAAAAGCAGCAGGTAATTTGCGCACAGCAGTGTCCCACAAATTGGAGTGAGTGACCAATTTTATCTGGGGGATTGTCGGCCAGGAACTAGAGAGACACTCCCTTGTCTTTTGCGATAGTGCTGTGGGATCTTTAGCATCGATCTGAACAGGATGATGGGACCTTCACTTGACCTCTCCTTCGAAGGCTGGTACCTCCGACAATGCAATGCTCGCCCCAGCGAGTGTCATCCTAGACTGTTGTTGCCCTAATAATTATAATAATAGTCCTTGCATTTGATATAATAATAATAATCCTTGCATTTGATATAGCGCTTTTCACGTCGAGAGGACGTCCCAAAGCGCTTCACAGAATAGACTGTAAAGTGAATTCACTGTATATTTGTGGGCGAACGCGGCAGCCAATTGCGCACAGCAATGTCCCACAAACAGCCATGAATGAAGGTGAGTGACCAATTTTATTTGGGGGATTGTTGGCCAGGACACCGGGAGAGAGAAACTACCTTCTCTATTCAAACAGTGCCATCGGGACCTTTAATGTCTCCCTGAATATTCAGGAGGGACTTCGGTTTAACATCTTATCCGGAGGACGACACCTCTGGCAAGGTATCTCCCCCCCCCCCCCCCCACCACCTCCCACCCACAGCACTGGATTGGAGTGTTAGCTTAGATGATGTATTCCAAGTCCACAACCTTGTGACTGAGAGGTTCCTACTTACTGCTAGGCAAACAGAGGCGTGTGGAGTAAGGAAACTTGCCTAAGGATTTGCCCTGCCCAGGAATCCAACCTGGGTCCTCTCGCTTGTGAGGCGAGCGCTCTAACCACTACCCTGCAGGACTCTTCCTTTGCGTCAACGCTGCTCTTTTATTGCGTATAGGACGACAGGAGGGACGATATTCAGCTAAACATGAGGCCGCCAGGGAGGCATCGGTGTGGTAAAGTGACAGTCGGTCACAGCAAAGCTGCGTTGTGAAGCAGGCTGGGCACTGAGCTGCTGGCACAGTCCTTCCCCCACGCTGTGTTTCTTTGCCCCAGTGTCCTGGCCAATGATCCCCCCAATAAATAATTCACTCTATGGCTGTTTGTGGGACGCTGCTGCTCGCAAATTGGCTGCCGCGTTTCGCCCACTAAATGCAGAGTCGCTGTTGTTGTGTTGTGCCAGTGTTGTGCTGCGAAGCAGGCTGGGCAGCGATCAGCTGGCACAGTCCTTCACACTGTGTGTGAGGGCACCCGCTGCCCCTCAGTGACTGAGTGACTGGGTGAGTGAGTGTGTGTATCAGTGGTTGCAGCTGCCCTGATCAGGGCTAAGAGGTTTACAGGGCAGCGTTTTCCAGCTCTGCCATCAGGTGATATTTATATCCTCTGCCCCTCTCACACTGGGGGGACGAGGAGAGCATTGCGTAGCTGATATTTCCAGGGCTTATTTGTACCAGAGCTCTCTCTGTGTCACTCTCTCAGTCCCGCGCGTTGAGCTGAGCTGAGCCGAGCCTGGCTGGCTGTCTTTATGAAGGTTATACCGGGTAAGTGAACGACTGAAGCACTCAGAAACTGCGATCGCTGTTTGTTGCCACGCACACGCTCGCTCGCTCGCGCACACAACGACCTTGACTCGTTTTGCTGTTTC